TTTTACATCTCCTGATCTCAACTGTTCACGTGATAAACAACGCCCCTCTCATCATGACCTATTTTAGTATTCATTATGTAATTTTTGTGATCCGCTGTTGCTATGCGAAATAAATAAACGCAAGCGTCAACTGCACTATTGGCTGTCTGCCAAAATACAACGCCTCGCTTAATTTAAAAGCATCCAATTTCAACAGAAAGCTCCGTGCGGTCTCTCCTCAAGTACATGTTGAGTTAATGGAAGAAATTACTCTACATGCACATATTCTTTTTGCGTTCTGAGCTACATGCCCCTTATTTTGGGGTAGCACTGATATTTATTTTAAAGTTTTACTTTTATTATACGTGTTAGAGTTATACTGCAGCTTTTATTACATAGGGAAATTTCTATATGCTTATATAATGCATTACAGTGGCAAGGACCAGTTTTGTCGAACCCGCAACGACTAAAACCCCATGGTGTTCCACCGTCGCCGCTTATTGGCATGGCCACGGGGACTCTTTTCCACACATAGTAGCATAGCTGCAACATTAATGGGTTGGCTCGATCGGGGTAGGACTACACTTACTCTGAATAGCAGTAGAGAACAACAGAATAATGTTGCTTTTTTTATAGGACAGGGTGACAAACGAGCACACAGTCCACCTGATGGTAAGTGGTTGCTGTGGCTCAGAGACATCTACATCTATCCTCTATTACAAATCAAAATGCAGATGCGTTGTCACCCGTGAGGACTAAGATGGAATGCCTCGTTTTCAGCAAAAAGGAGACTCGTTAAGAGATAAGTACTACTGAAGTTGTCCAATTAACTAATACGTATATTATTCGCGATTCGCTGTTACGATTTGACACATTTTAACCGTTTTTTTTTATAAAACAAGAGTGGTAAACGAGCATACAACCCACCTGATGGTGGATGCTGTGGCTCATAAATATCTACATCTATCCTGGATTAAGAATAAAATACAGATGCCTTGACACCCCAGAGAATAAAGATGGAATGCCTCATTTCTAGAATAAAGGGTCATCGGTTCTCTACACTCACCATACGAAACACAGCAGCATTAAGTTGCTATTTTACGCTGGTATTCTGTGAGAGCGTGGTCCTTCCCCGATCGAACCGACCCATTCGTGCTACAACTACACTACTAATATAGCTGCATGTGTGTTTAGCAGGGATGGTTGATATGACAAGGATATATAAATATATATGTATAGGATATATAAATATATAGATAAATGGAGCTCTTCGCGCTATTGTGGCAAGTCAGAATGTGTGAAATAAGACATGACAATTCCCAATGCTGTGCATATAATAGTGCATACTTTGATGTATGGTAGTGAGAGCTGGTGTGACAAAAGAAACGCGAGAGTGGAAATGCGGTCATTATGAAGTATCTCAATTAAATGAGAGACTGAGAAATTGTGTGTCACTTACACATCATATTTGCAAGATGATGTTGTGACCAGGATTAAGAAAGAAATGCTTCGGTGATTTGGTCATGTAAAAAGAATAAATGAGGAAGAAGAAGAAAGAAAATCTATGTTGCAGAAGTGAACGGTAGAATTGGCAAGGGACGACCTAAACGAAAGTGTATCGACCAAATTGGCGATATGTTGAAAATGGGTCAAATTTAAAATAACCTTAACCGACAAGCATGTATGCGTGGATATATTGGTATAAACGAGACGAGAGAGGTGTGTCAGGATCGTGCCAAATTGAATTCCGTAGCCCCTGCTTACCCGTCTGGGTTACAGGCGTGAGTGTTTATGTATTATGTATATGTAAAGAAAATTATTACGTATTTACAACATTCAGTATTAATGACGATAACGCGATGTGACTTTTGTGTTTGACCTAGTCAACTGTTTTGACCCAATGATATGTCTCGCGTAATAATTTTATGTCATAACACAGATCTCGTCAAACGTCGTTTGTTTGTCTTGTTTAAAACGGCCTGAGATCCATCTGATAGTAAATAGTATCTGTAACCCAATCGGCATCAAACAATAATCATAATATATTCCAGACCAAGTTTTGGTCATTATCATCTACTCAGAACAGAATTATGGTACACGGATGTATGCGTAAGAATGCCTTTTTTTAAATATTTTTTCCCGCTAAGATTTTCTCCTTTTCTCCTATAATCATAGAGACAGTACATGAATTTCCTGAAACAATTATTTGTAAGGCATACAAATACTTGTTCCGTAAGGGATTCAATCCCGCGGTCTTCAGGGCCGCAGCTCGTTACTTAGCCAGCGCCGGCAAATAAGTGCACTCTCGTTGAACTCACTCTCATGGTCCTCTACCTCCCATGACATCACCAACCTTGCGTTTATACGTGGCGTATTTTGAGAGAAGCACACGGTACTTGCGCAAGGTTCTTTTTCACATGCACTTTCTTGACTCTCTAGAAATTATTTATTTATCTCCTTGTCATACCGTCGCTCTCCCTTTCCGGGTATGACAAGCACATAAAGCCGTCGTTTCCGGGCAAATCTGTTGTTATATTTCTATTTGCCCTCTCTGTGGCAGCCCTCCGCGCCTGGCAACCATATGTGCAAACTCCCACAGGCGGCCAAAGTTCACCTTACCGTTAACGAGTTCCGAGCAGTGAACTTGGTTATCCAACATGACCGGTGATTAAGCGCATGTCTAACAGATTTACGTGTTTTACGAGGTACAAGGGTGAAACCCCGAAAACCTTCCTGACTTCGGGCTGCCAGCTGCCACCAAGAATTACTTGACTCAAAAATACAATATTTTTGGCCAGATTTGCCATTCGAACCCACGACCACATGCTCAGCAGTCGCCTTACGATAACCAAACCAACAAGACATCGTACAAAGAAGGCTACATATGCGTTATCACCTCTTTTGTTTTGTCTTATATATAAGATATCTAAACCCTTCAAACTGGAACAGAGTTTGAGCATTGCTGCTGCGTGGCATAGATGGTAAAAGAGTGGTATACCATCAGTATAAAGCGCAGACAGTGGTAAGTGGATGCTGTGGCCCATAGGCATCTTAGTTTATCCTCGATTAAAAATAAAAATGCAGATGCGTTGTCACCCCTGAAGACAAAGATGGAATGCCGTGTTTCCAGTAAAAAGGGATTTCGTTTCTTTACACTACGAAATACGGTAGCATTAAGTTTTTATTTTACGCTCATATTGATGAGAGCGTGGTCCTACCTCAGTCAAGCCGACTCATACGTACTAAAATCATGATATAGCTGCAGCATGGCTCTACGACGTAAATAAAATATATTATAAGCCTTGCGATCCCATGAGTGTGAGGTGACCATGGGATATGCCAAAAAATCTTGGAGTTTTCGTTAGATGGCGGTATACGTTAGAACGGATTAGTAAGCTAAAGTGGCAATTTGCCAGCCATATAGCTCGAAGAACCAAGTACCGATGGGGAAGAAAGGATCTCGAAAGTCAGCCTCGTACCGAAAGGCGAACTGTAGGCCGACTGTCCACTAAATGGGGAAACGATCTGGTAGTGATATTGAGGAAATCAATGGATGCAGGTGGCTCAGGACCGTGCTTTGGTAGGCCTATGTTCAGCAGTGGACTTGTGAACGACTGTAATGAATAAATTAAACGTTGCCCAGGTATCCTATTAGAACTGTTTATAATTCCTTAGTCATTATTTATTTAAAGTATTCAAGAAAATTCAGCCTTTGTTCTCTCCAAATTTGTTGTTCAAATCGAATATTTAAAACATTTTAATATTGAAATGATTACTTGTAAAGAAACCATCGAAACCTTTGTAAAGAAATCACGTATTGTGTCTATCTTTACCTGCGTTACGCATCCATGGATGGTTTCTATTACGGACCGAGGATATTTTAGAACCTACCTCGGGGAATTGGTACCTGTAAATGAAATTTTGCTTTGTGAATAAACCGTTATTACGTGAAGAATTTAGGACTTTTAAACTACATGGAATTCCCTATTATAATTCAGATTCCTTATTTGCTTAACTATTTACATCTAAATATTTTTTTAGGTGAAATATATTATCTATTTGGTTTTTGTTCAGAAAACAGTACAGAATTAATTTATAACGCAATCTTAAACAAGTTTGCTTTTAAAAATAAAGTCCGTAAACGTGTGAAAAAATCTTTGCCAGTTTGAACTAACACAACTCTTATTTACATATACATATATTTAATTTAGTTCATACATAGATACTAATTACATATATGTATTATGTAATTATGTTCTTGACATAATTACGTACATGTTATGTATATTACTTCATAAACCCTCATACATATTATTTCACCTTTTATTATCGCTTTCTATTTTGTTTTTCGCTGCACCGCCTCTTATTGTCTCTGTTTGGCCTAATGGTTTACTGGGAGAGAATGCCCTAAGTGAGAGAACGGTATTAAGTCCGTCATATAATGTTCTACTTTGTGCGTTGAAGTATAAATAAATAAATAGTACGTCGAATAAAGTTGGTTTCGAGTAAATATATTTGTTCTCGAGATATGCGAGTTGAAAGAGTATATACGTAACGTAACGTCATACATACATTCATATTTTTTATATACATAGGATAAGGGTGACAAACGAGCACCCAGTCTACCTGATGGTAAGTAGTTAATGTCACAGCCCATAGACATCTTTAACTATCCTCGATAACGATTCAAAATGCAGATACGTTGTCGCCTCGTTTTTAGTAAAAGGTGTTAGCAGATATCTACACTCAATATACAAAAACAGCAACATTAAGCTGCTATTTTAAGCTGAAATTCTGTGAAAGCGTGATTCTTCCCCGGTCGAGCCAACCCATTCGTGCTACAACTATACTACTAATATAACTGTAGCATCACTCTACCACATACAAATCGTGACATCTAATGTCGAATATTTGTCCAATAGTGGGTTATATAGAGTCAATGGTGGCTTTAGAAAGTTGAGACGAGTTGTCACTTATTTTAAATTCTTGAGATTTCGATTGCTTCGTATTTGATAATAGTCATGGTGACTGGATCACAGAGTTGCATAACGTTCTGATGTCATATATCATAGTATAGCTTAACCGAAATAAGTAAGTAGTAAGGCGACAAAAGAAACATCATGTTCATTAAATGATTTTACTGGTGGGATTGTATTCAGGCGCTAATAAGCTTATTAAGTAATGAGGGAAGGGTAGAGGCAAATTTTTCTCACCCGGGGCTCCGAAATAACTAAGACCGGTTCTGTACAAAGTCACAATATTTTTTTTATAGAATAGGGTGACAAACGAGCACATAGTTCACCTGATGGTAAGTGGTTGCTGTGGCCCATAGACATCTAATCTATCCTCGATCATCATCATGTCATCTCATCTATAACCCGTGAGGACTAAGATGGAATTCATCATTTCCAGTAAAAAGGGTCTCCGGTTCTCTACACTCACCATACGAGACACAGCAGCATTAAGCTACTATTTTGCGCTGGTATTCTGTGAAAGCGTGGTCCTTCTCAATCGAGCCGACCCATATTCGTACTACAATAATGTAATATAGTTCAACCGTGCTATAAATAATTTATATTATCAAGAAACATTCCTACATACATAAACGCTCACGTCTGTCATCCGGAGAGGTAGACAGAGACTACGAACTTCTGTTTAGCACGATCTTGATACCTCATTTGCCTCTTTCACATACTTACGCGTATATGCTCATCGGTTAAGTTGTGTTAATTTGACCGGTCTTCAATATATCGCCAATTTGAAAGTAATACGGTTTTCGCCGTGGTCGATCAGCTGCTGATCTTTTGTTCTACCTAACTAATAGATGGGCGGAGGCAGTAGAGTCCTAGGGGGAGAGGCGTTGGCCGTTAGTTTGGATATTGCGAAGGCCTTCGATCGTGCTTGGCACAAAGCGCTTCTTTCGAAGCTCACTTCCTATGGGCTTCCCGAGAATATGTGCAATTGGATCACCAGCTTTCTTACAGATCGGAGCATCAAGGTCGTTGTAGACGGTGCAAGCTCTGATTACAAGCCTATTAATGCTGGTTTTCCACAAGACTGCGTGCTATCGTCAACGCTGTTTCTTCTGCATATCAATGATATATTGCAAACCTGTAACATTCATTGCTATGCATATGACAGCACTGGTGATGCCCTGTACACCGGCCGTGCCAATATTTCTCGGGAAAACTTTTCCGAGTACCGGGACAAACTTGTGTCTGAAGTCGAGTCTTTGCTGAACAAAGTCTCGGATTTGGGGCGACTAAATCTAATCCAGTTGAACCCTCAGAAGACACAAGTTTGCGCGTTAGCTGCTAAAAAGAATCCCTTGGTCGTATCTCCTCAGTTTCATGACACATCCCTTATTGCCTCAGCCAGTATCGGAATCCTCGGCGTCGATATATCCAGTGACGTGCAGTTTCGTGTTAACTTGGAAAGCGAAGGCCAAATTGGCTTCTAGAAAGCTTGGCGTGCTCAGCAGATCGGGACAGTGTTTCATGCCGGCACACAGTTGCAGGCGGCAACTTTACAAAGCGCAGGTTCAGCCGCACATGGAATACTGTTCCCATCTCTGGGCTGGGGCTCCCCAGTACCAGCACCTTCCACTTGACCGCATCCAGCGCAGAGCGGCTCGAATCGTCGATGACCGAGTGTTTTCCGATCGGCTCGGTTCACTGGCACTGCGAAGAGATGTTGCATCTCTTTGCATTTTCTTTCGCATATACCATGGAGAGTGCTCTGAGGAATTGTTCAGATTAATCCCAGCCGCCAAATTTCGTGAACGCACTACTCGGCAAACGTCGCGATACCATCCACATCATCTGGATGCTTGGCGGTCCACCACTGTACGTTTCAAGAGGAGTTTTCTACCGCGTACGACCTCTCTGTGGAATAGTTTACCACCAGCGATTTTTCCGGACCGATACGACCTGGGGACCTTCAAGAAAAGAGCGTACTCCTTTCTAAAGGGCCGGCAACGCACCTGCAATTCCCCTGGTGTTGCGGTTGATCATGGGCGGCGGTAGTCACTTAACATCAGGTGAGCCGCATGCTCGTTTGCCCCCTCTTCCTTCACACAACACAACCTTCTTTAGCAACTGTTTTATGTAACGAATTACGCGTTATCTATTACGAACTAGTTTGCTCGCGAGCGTTGTTTGATAAGAGAAAGCTTAGCTTTGCAAATCACTTATGCAATGTGATTATGGTACCTCTGCTTGGCTGTTAATGAGACCATAGTAAAAACAGAATAGTAGGATTCCTCCCGCGCCGCGCGAGACTTAAATGCCTACTGTTGCAGGGTTGTCACTGTCTTTTTACAGCTAAGTCTCATTTAGTTTATAAGTAATTATAATATTTAAAATTATGCATCATATTTGTTAATGATTTCTTTAATTTCCTCTCAAAGAATCAATGTTTGTCAAAAAAAATCCAGCTTTACATTACAACAAATGCCAAATAAATAAAATACTACCTATTAACACTGAGAATTTGGTGTCAGCTCAGATTTAATGTTTAAAATTAATTTGATCTGATGTGATATGATAATTAATGTACTTGTGAGGTATGTATCTATGTATAAATACCAGCTAACCTATTATTAAGAAGCTAATTTACTTAAACAAACGGATATACTAATTTATTTTACAAAAGTAGAAAATAAAACGAATAAAAAACTACTAGTAAAATTTTATTAAGTCAACAGTCCCAAATAAAGGTGATTGCTGAGCGCGGCGGTGGGCGTTCCCGACTCGTTCCGATGTTCCCGACTAAACAAGTGTCGTTGTGTGCGTGTTGTGGCTCGTGCGTACGAGTTTGTACTGTCACGTGCCAGGCGCACACACATATTAGCGGCGTTCGGTACATTTCTTAGAAGATAGCCTACTATTCTGTTTTACTATGATGAGACGAACCTAATGAATTACCAATGGTGAAACAAAATTCTCAATTACGTATTCAATTCTGGGCGTCGAGAACGTCACTAAATGAACAAATAAAGAAAATTACGTTTATTTGCGCTTTCACAGCGTAATGAACTTATACAGTAAAATGTAAATTAAAGAGTAGGCGAAAATAGCAGAAAACAAGCTTCTCTAACCCATAAATTCTTATATTAAAATATTAATAAACCATAAAATCCAAGTAGTTACTCATTTAACATATTGAATTAAATATAAAACAAATAGGTTTATAGTGCCGGACACATAGATACCGACAACCGATGGGGGAGCAAGGTTGTCGTGTGGTTGTGTCGTACCGGTGCGTGAATTGTAGCCCCTCACCCGCTCTTAATAGATGGAGTTACGACCTGTTAAGACATGCAAGAGATCGATGGATGCACGTGGCACAGGATCGTAGGGGATGCCTATGTTCAGCGGTGGACTTTCGATGGATCGTAATGATGACGATGATTATGATTATGCTGATGATGATGACTATGTGATACGATTCTCTCTTTGCCAAGATTTCATGCGGTTTGGTATCAATTGGCCCACCAGTGACTCCAGAGGTTAAATTCCTTGTGGAGGTACATCGTAATCATGAGAAGGGCAGTAAGGAGTACGTTTACTCTTCGACATCACGAATGGGTCGGCTAGACCGGGGAAGGACCACGCTCTCGCAGAATACCAGCGTAAAATAGCAGCTTAACGCTATTGTGTTTCGTATGGTGAGTGTAGAGAACTGGAGACCCTTTTTACTGGAAAAGAGGCATTCCATCTAGTCCTCAAGGGTGGACAGCGCTCTGCATTTTGATTTGTGATCGAGGATTGATGTAGATGTTCCGATGTATATTTTAGTCTGTGGGTAACTGCGGTTAACATTATGATGACATCGGGACGTCGAACACTACAGCCAACCCCCCCCCCTCCGAGACCTTGGGTGCTGTAAAGTGCTCGAAACGTGTCGGGAATATAAAAATATTTATATACGTGATGAAATCCGTAAAAACTAGTTTTATTTAAATTTATATACGCGATAAAATCCGTAAAAACTAGTTTTATTTAAATGTGTAGTGTTCGCTTAAATATAAGCAATCATTAGATCTTACCCAGGCAAAATCAGGGGGGGGGTCCCCAGTTTTTAATAAAATACATATTACTGACATCTCGCATTTATTGTTAAATAATTTTTAATATTGTTCATTATTATAATAACTTTAACAATTTATTCTCTATTGTCAGCAGAGTGAGAAGTGGCTAGCATACGAGAACCTTAAAGAAGAAATATTAGAGAAGATAAGGAAGATCGAGGAAGAACGTCACACTGTCGACCTCTGGTCCTGCGGTGCAGAATGGGGCAGGAAGAGGCGCAGGAGACAGGTGGCCGTGTCACCTCCTTACGTGGTATACATGCTCCCCGATGCCGACATTATGGAAGATTGGCGACTAGTTAGGAAATTGCTTGAGAGAGCTGATTAATTACAAGTAAGAGAATAAAGTAGTCGAGTCACCAATGCAAAACAAATGTTTGGGTGTGCGCTTAGATTATATTCAGTTTGCTCATATTAGAAAAAAATAATTTTAAGTTATTAGTCATAAGTTTAAACTAGGTGGAAGTAAAAGAAAGACAGTAGTTAAGCTGAAATTTCTTACTTCTTATTTCAAAAAATAACTCTATCATTTAACAGATGATTCTCTGAAAATGTCAAGGTTGAGAAATAAAAGAAGATATTACCAAAAAAAACCATTGAAGTGTAATTTGCTTATTCGTTTTAAGGACGATTTTGCGCATAACCCAAAAAGTTTAGATACCTAAAAACAAACATCAATCTTTTGATGTTTGTAGTTGCTAACGATATTGTAATGCAATATATTTAAATATAATACATTAGGTCTGGATGTTTCTCCTTGTGAAATTTATGTATGTGAACTGCCTCCACAATACAAGAAAAATCCTAGAGTATGGGTGGGTAACCTTTTTACAAAAATAAATAAAAAAGCTTTCACTCTTAACACAATACCAACGTAAAATAGCAGCTCAATGTTACTGTGTTTCATATGGTGAGTGTAGAGAACCGGAAAAGCTTTTTACTGGAAACGGAGCATTCCATCTAAGTCCTCACGGGTGTCAACGCATCTGCATTTTGATTCGTAATCGAGAATAGATATTGATGTCTATGGGCCACAGCAACAATTTACCGTCAGGTGGACTGTGTGCTCGTTTGTTCGTTTGTCTATATATAAAAAGACTACCGTAGCATATTTACCGCGTATTCAATTCGTACGATTTATATTTATTGTGACCCTCTATCAGTGACCTATGATTATAATTATTATTCTAACTCATCTAACGCAATATCAGTGGCGTCGCGGCAGAGACCTCTGTGGTGAATTTCTTCTTAACCGAAGTTTAAATTTGAGGCTGTCAACGTTTTGTAATAATCATCTTTTGAAGCATATTTCTAGTTTTGTAACAGAAGTATTTATCTCCTTACCGTTAAAATTAAATATAAATAAAATTTTATGAGCAAGCCTTCACAAATTGTTCCATTATCCTGTGCGTGTCTAAAAGTAAAGAAGAAGTCTTAAAATGGCTAGAATTATATCTATTTTTATAAATATTGAGTGACTACTACTGCTTATGGACACATAGCAACTAACTTTTTTATGGAATAACGTGCACACAGTCCACCTGATTGTAAATGGACGCTGTATCCTATAGACATCTATATCTGCCTTCAATTAAAAATCAAAATTTAATTGCGTTGTCACACTTCAGAGCTTAGTCAAAGTGTCTCATTACTAGTAAAGAAAGTTGGTTTCCAGTTTTTTTACACACACCATACGAAACACAATAGCATTACGCTATTTTACGCTGGTATTCTGTGAAAGCGTTGTCATTTCCCGGTGGAGCCGACCTATTCATGTTACAACCGTAATATAGGTTTGTTTGAAGCAACAACCGCTACGTTGTTGCTTCAAACAAACACGCAAATATGTGGTATAACCATATATATTATATTAAAGGGTCGGCTCGAACAGGGAGGGACCACGTTCTCAGAGAATATCAGCGCGAAATAGCAGCTTAGAACTGCTGTGTTTCGCATGGTGAGTGTAGGGATCCCTAGACTTTTTTTTTTGTTCGAAACGAGGCATTCCATCTTAGTCCTCAGGGGTGACAATGCATCTGCATTTTGATTCTTAATCGAGGATAAATGTAGATAAATGTCTATGGGCCACAGCATCCACTTCCCATCAAGTGGACTGTGTGCTCGTTTGTCACCCTTATTCTATAAAAAATTGTTAATTCTGCTTATAGCATCAACTTGAACGGACTAGACGACTCTGATAAGGCACTATGTATTTCTTGTCTAGTCAACGATCCATTTAGCATTGAACTCATTGTAAAAATATATTGTTGGTACACAATGTGAACCAGTATACTTTTATAACACAATTCATATTAAGCAAGTTATATCACAACATGTTCTCAGCAGTTGCAAAGATTCCTGTAACAATAGTGGCGTTCTCTGTTTTGTGAGTTCGCTTGTGAAACCGCAATATAAAATTGATGTGCGCATTAAAATCAGCGTGTCTCAGTTTATTTACTTTTAAATTCTCACCTAATTATTTAAAACATTTTATAACGAGAAAATAACTATTGTTTGACTGTATATATTTAGCATTTATATCATCACTTGTAAAGCTTTCGCATTAGTAGTTGAATGTCGAAGGAATTGTGTACAGAAATGCTAAGTAAAGAAAGCTACACTGCAACGAATTATATCTCTAAAACGAATGGGTCCGACGACTGGGGCAGGACTACGCCCGCACTGCGTTCTATGCGGGCGTAGTCCGCGTCGTGCAACATGAAATAGCACTATAATTCTATTAAGTTTCGAATGGTATGGAGAATTCGGTCTTTCTACTCGTAACGAAGCATTCCATCTCAGCCCAAAGAGGTGCCAATGCTTTCGCTTTTTTGTTCCTATTTCTTAATCGAGGATAAACATTGGTATCTATGGCTTACAGAGCCCACGTACTCTCAGGTGATACTTGTGTCACTTTTACTTCCATACAAAAAAATGTGTACCAATATATATGCTACGTATTTACAATGCAAAAAGTAAGTCTTAAAGTTTAAAGTATTTGTGGTAAACTCGCATAAGCTATGGATATGATTTTATGAAATAATGATGAAAAACGACGTAAATTTTATAATAGAACGTATTTACATTTGGGTCATTGTTTGGAGCTAAAGCACCACTAAGTTTAAATTTATTTATAAAATATAAGTTCGTTATAATATATATACACTATGCAGTAGCGGCGTAAGATAAATAAATAAATAAAAAGTATTTATTTGCCACACAAAAATACAATATTAAAATTTAAATGAGAGCTTAATAATTAGTTGTGACAAAACGGTCTGTGACTCAGTTGTAACGGGAAACCCATTACCCCTTGCTGTTTTCTGTTACAGCCTTTGCGCATTATTCATACAGGGTCATAGGCAATTGATGAAACACGCGTATCAACAATAAAAAAGCAAAGATAAAAATAAAAATATAAATAAAACAATAAATTATAGTTGCTAAATACAAATAAAAAGTTGTTTAATTTGAGGAGGAGTAGGAGAGGTATCAAAGGCACATAGAAGTAGTAAGAGAATAAACTATTGCATGTTATCCCGTAGTTGTCATAATAGACGACAAAGAGAAACTGAAACATAAAATGGGCAGCACCATCTTTCTGGTAATAACAAATAATTCATTCTCCATGTGAGGTGATCTATGGGGGATGCCTATGTTCAATTGTTGATTATGATAGATGCACTGATGGCGATGATGATGGTGATGATGTTAAATATATTTATGTTATATTAAGTCTATATATTTATATTGAGCTAGACTCCAGAGTATTCGACAACTTTGGAGATACATATTCATGATTAAACTGATGCTTCAATGTAGAGTACTCTTGGAATTGGTGACTCGACTAATTTAAGGAATAAAGCTGTTCTAACAGAAATAATGTCTAACTAAATGAATATTCATGGTGTAGGATTTTTAGTTTTTACTTCCTTATTTATTTTTTATTGGTAACTATATTTTGCAACACTTATTAAAAATGCTATTTACTTATTGTTCTTTGTAAAACATCCGAGTCAGTGATTACACATCTTTATAAATATTCTCTTCTATCATCATAACATTTTTAAATATAATATTCAGAAATTACTGAATATTATATTTATTGTTTGGGATTCATTCAAAAGTAAACATAGTTTTATTTTGAAATTTAGTCGTTCATAATTTTGCCGTGTTAATTACAATTATATTGTAAATTAGTACTAGTAGCTGGTGTCTACGTTGAAATTGTTTTATGCAATGTTTTCTGACAGATTTTTTTACCACGAAGGGATATTTTAAATAGTCCACTGATTAAGTACAGGAATAGTTGTTTTTAAAGCTTAACTTTGTTTTTTTCAAATTCGTCTTATACCTTTGTGATTAGTAAGATAAAATAATATTAAGCTAAGAGAAAAAAATCGTGATTGTATAGTAATTTTCATAAATATTAGATAATCGAAATTATAAATTACTGTTGTATAAACATACGAATCTTAAGTCTTAAATTACTTTCAAATAAACACTAACCTTGCATTGACATTATGTTTTTCAAAAATTGGAAGGAGATGACCTCTTGTGCTTTAAATGATTGGTTTTAAACCAAGACGGGACCTAAGTTGATATCAGTGTTTCTGAGTGAAATGAGAAGTGTGCATTTCTATTTTCAGTTCAAAAACTTTATTATAACTTAAAGAAATAATAGTTATCCTGTACACTCGACTTTAATAACAGCATGTACTCGACGTTTGATCCAGATGTGAGAAATAAAAATGTTGTTGGTGTATTTCATAGAAAGTTAAAAATTATGTCTTGTTTATCCAACCTGTTTGTTCAATATTATGTGTTTGTAAAATACTTCCATAATAATTTTAAAACCTAAATGTGTGGAACGCGTTCTTAAATATTGTTGAAATAAAATGTTAATTAGGGTATTTTTGGATAATCTGAATACGAACGGAATATTTCTTTTAATTTTTAACTTACGGGTTTGATCAACAGAAAGTGATTGTATAATAATTCCTTTTATATTAAAATAAATGTGTTAAATACGTTTTTAAATGTTGTCTTATTTCAAGCAAACAATGCCGAGGTGTAAACAGAGGAAATATGGGAACAGCTAATAGATAGCCGATGGGACATATATTTTTACTTGTAGTTTGAGTGAATTTCGAAACGACGCTTTATATGTGCTAAGTTATTAATGGTTTTTGTTTTTATTACTAAGTAATTACAGCAAGATTGCTGTAATTACTTGCTTACAAGCTTGCTGTTATCGAAGTTATTGAACACAAATGACTAATGATTTCTTATATTTACGCGAACACTACACATTTAAATAAAACTAGT